TCAGAAGATGCTTGAAATGATTGCCTTGAACTTCTTGACATATGATATCTGATATTTCACGTCGAACATTTCCGAACACAGTAACGTCAATATCTCTACAAATATTCATTATTCTCTGCCTTATATCCAATATTGAAGCTTCAAATAGCCCCATAAAAAATCCAAAGGTGTCAAATCTGGCGAGCGGGCTAGCCATTCTGTAGGACTTCGACGGCCAATCCAACGACCGGGAAAAGTAGTATCTAAACAGTTTCTCACTTGTCTGGAGTAATGTGATGGTGCTCCATCTTGTTGGAATACAATATCCATATCGAATTCATTAGGATTCGCTTCGACGATTTCAGTGATGAGAGGGTCAACAGTATTTTCCCCCAGACGAAACAATCTATTGGATTAAGATCTGGGGAAAGAAAATGAGTAATCTATTTACTNAAACACTTTTCAAATCTACTCATGTCATCGATGACATGTTAATGTAATTCAATGTTTATATGAAAGTAATTTGTTTCAACGGGGCTTTCTTGGACCTGAAATACACATTTTGAATTCATAATATAGATTGTGAAATGTAATCAGTTCAATCTTTCGACTATTGGGTTATCAAATCGTATTTTTCAACCGTAAGCAGTACGTCCAACTCAATGGCATCAAGTCTGTCGAATATGTAGCCACATCAGGTGTACCACAAGGATCAAACCTAGAACCTCTACTGTTCAATATGTTCATTATTGATATCGGAGCTGAGATTGATGTCAATTTTCTTTTATAACCAGATGACTTGAAACTGTTCACAATATAATATTTTCTAATGATTGCGAATGTCTCGTCCTGAATTTAAATCGTGTTGCTACATGGTGTCGGAAGAATAATCTATCTCTCAACATATCCAAATGTAATGTTATGTCTCACTCACTGAAAACGAATTTGAATTTACACAACTACGTCATAAACAATCAAGTTCTGGAGCGTCCTGACACACTCACTGATCTAGGTGTTACTTTTAATTCATTCCTATCTTTCAATAAATATGTTGACACTACTCCGACAGCTGCTTATCGTATGTATGGATTCTTAGTTAGAAATACAAAAGACTTTGAAAAAGCTTCAACATTGAAATTACTTCATTTCATTTTTATTCGATCTAGGCTGGAATATGCATCTATTGTGTGGAGACCCTACTATCAGGTTCATATAAATAACTAGAAGCCCTACAGAGGCGCTTACTAAAATACATACTAATACTAAACTAAACTTGATGGCGCATACTAAACTTGATGGCACTTATCCTACTGCAGGAATACACTATTATTAATTGTTTGAAACTCATTATTTTCGTAGTCTAGAATCTCCAATTTATACAATGTGCAATACCTCTATTTCTGTTAGTCATGACCTAGATATATTCTACTGCCAGATTATACAAAACAAAAGACATTTCTTAGCTAACTGATAGTTCTGTTTTTATTTTATTTTTTATATGGATTCCCAAATTATATTATGTAAGTTCATACTTGTAAATGCCACTGTTTCTCCCTAGTCTGTAATTGGGTTCATCCTGTAGAATAGTGTATAAAATAAATAAATAAATGAATATATTTTCATTTCCATACATAATAATCATTATATGGTATTGAAAAAATATTCCTTTCTATAAAAACGTCGTTAAGATCGAGGTCAAATTATAATCAGAATCTGAATTAAAAATACTCCAAAAAGGTCGGTGGTCCGACCCCACATTATAGTGTTGCTCAGAACCGAATGAATACACAAACATGTGAATGAGAATACTTCGAGAGTTTTGAAAGCATTACATGCATCAAAATCTTTTATGTGTTGTAATTTGATTTTTCAATATAAAAGTAGAATCCAAGAATTGACGATAGTTCATCCAATAAAGTTGTTACTTCACGAATAACCAACTGGTCTCAAAGGTCAAATGAATTGGTAATAGTGAGAACACTTGATGATAATGATAATAAAGGTTGGCCACCTTTATTATCATTCATATCATATTTGGACCATTTCATTCCAAAAATGTATTATATCTATTTTGAATGCCAATCTAAAATAGTTTTTGAGAAAAGAAAATATTACCCTCTATGGAAAAATAAGTTAGACTCAATCTATCTACGGGGTATAAAAAGAAGTGAATTTTGAAAGACAAAAATGGTTTATCACGATTTTTATTGAAACTAGAATTCCTATCTGACCTCATCCTTTTCTTTTTATCAAGATGGAGTAGTAGAAAGCCAAAAACTTTCTCTCTCAAAAATTAATCACTCCTAAAAATATAACCCCTTCAATTCAAAAGTATAAAGAACTACAACTTTTGTATGAGTCATTTTTTTTCAGATTACCTGAAATTTTACCATAGAAATTGGAATAACCGGTTTTTTTGTTTAAATTTTTTTTGTCCTACAGCACGTTTTTCATAAACATTTATGGAAACCACGAAAATTATTTGTTCTTCACATAATTTGGTGAAAACTTTCGTAACACTAAGAAAACTATTTTTTCATTCACAGTATTTATATTTTATATTGATAATGAATCTGAAAAAAGCCTCATCAGAAAATCAATGTGTCCCAAACCATTTTTCTCAGAATCAGTAGAGGTCTTTCTTCACTTGTGAAAAATATTTCAGATGGTTCAAAAAAAAGTTAAATCATCATAGAAAATTCGCCATAAAACGTGATTAACTAAAAATTATTTCATTTTTTTCCGTTAAAATAATTTCCTGACAAATTACCGGTTGCTCAGATTTTCTCCGAAAGTTTTCAGTGTATGCAAAAATGATTCATTAAAAATTTGAAGATTCTCATATCACCCACATTTTTCACATACGTTTTTTAATGTAAACCATAAATACTTTTATTCTGAAGGAGTAGGGCGGTCGTGAAAATACTACCCAAGAAGTTGAATCCTGTAGATTTTCGTGAAATAAGCATCCTACCAACATTATCCAAAATATTGAAACAAGCTCTGCAATGTTAGCTGTCAAAGTAATCAACACAGCTCAGTTTGCTGCCTCCAGTTCAAGTAGGATTTTGAAAAGGCTATAGCTATACAACTGCTCTGCCCCATGTCATCGAGATGATATCATTAGACTAACGGATCAAGGACTCTGTACTGAACTCATTTTAAAAGATTTCAATAAAGCATTTGATACTCTCAATCACTTTTCATCATTGCTCGTTTCGAACTGATTGGGTCTCTCACCACATGCTGTGAAGGTAACTTGAAAATTACCTGAAGAATAGATCGCAATGTTAAAACTGATGAAACGCAATTCAATTATTTATTTTTCGAATCCAGAGTTCCTCAAGGATCAATGCTTGAACCACTGGACCACTTGGAGTACCAACATTCTAGCATTCACGGATACTCGGATCTATTTCTCTGTTACTCCTTGAGAAATTGATGCCGCTTGTAGTATAATTAGCTAATGGAGAACTAACTGGATATAATTATCAAGAATGTTTCAGACCACTGCTTGATTATGAATCCCTCTAAATCGAAAGCTATAGTTTTTGGTCCTTAGCATTAGGAATATAGTTGTTAATGATGAAACCATAGAAATTGTTGAGGAAGTCAAAGTTTTTGGTGTATTGCTGGATTTCAATATGAGATTCGGAAGACATTCCAACAAATTGTTACAAAGAGACTCCTGTGTACGTAAGATATATGGAATGCCGCATTTTCTACTGCCAAAGCTCAAAGTTATAATTTATGAAAAATTGGTGCTGTCGAATTTTAATTAGGCGGATGTTGTTTATGACCACAATATAACTAATTATAAACAAAGATATCAATAAGTGTAAAATGCATGTTTATGTCTAATATATGGAAAAAAGTAGGTAATGCAAAAGAATTTTTTATAAATTTCACGAAGTTGGTTGGCTGAAAATGGAAAATAGAAGAACTTTACATTGTAGCTTTCTTTTTTATGAAATAATTTGCACATTTCGTATTTATATCAAAAAATAACCTTTCTTACGGATGTGCGTGATCTAAATGTACCTAAGATTTAGCGGAATATTATTTTCGCCCTCTTTCGAAAGCGAATATTTCAGGAAATTTAATACTTAGTTATCAAATTTGCAAAATTTATATCATTCCATCTGATTTCAGTTCAAACAGTATTCATTCAACCTTCTTGCTAATAATTTTAAGAACTCTCGTTTCAAATTAGCTGCTGGTTGAAAAGTTATAGAACATGAATAATATTTGTATCGGGGTGTATTTATTTGTAATTAGTCCCGTTTATTCGATTTCATTTTTGGTATAGAAAGATATTTTCGTTTTGGAGTTGAGTGGAAGAGCAACAGAGTCGTATTTCCTGATTCTGAGTCGAACTTCGCCCTTTATTATCCTTATAAGTCTATAATCCGAAATTTTACTGTTTTCCAAACATGTAATGGGTAATGATAATGAAGACTATTATTATTTTCACCCTATTCACCCTATTTCATACCCAGTACCTTGGATCGACTTTTATTAATTTTCCTGTTATAAACACAATATATCCCAACCTTTTCAGCAAATCTTCATTCTTTTATCATTCATCAATTTTTTGCTGTCCTAAAAATTGTCCAGCACTCATCTACGTCAGTAGGTACCCATCCATAATTTTATTTCGTCGCGTGGAACTGAATAATCAGTACTTAATAGTCATTATTCAAATTCGACCTTGTTTGGAAATTATCAAACTCAACCTTGTGCAAAATTATCAAGTTCAACTTCAATGAATTCCGACTATTTATTGCCTGTGTTCGTGGCCCTTGATTGGATTCGTTTATCTAGAATCTAGACCATGCTGTACTGTGGTATAGATATCTGTCTCATAGTGTTAAAATTTGAATTAGCCCGCGCTACACGAGCTAAGTCCATATCACTTGATAAACTATATAACTGAACAGTTGAACACGAGTATTCAAATTCAATAACATTAACGAATTTTTCTATTCGAACATAACCTACAATATGTAATCGTAACTCACCGTATATCTTCATTTAATCCAATCAAAGAATTCGAAACCGTACCACTTTTAACACTATAACTCTTTTTTGTTGAGAAAAGTGTGAAAGTGAGTCATTTCCAACAGAACAAAACAGAACATGATGAAAGTAAAGGCACTGTGTTGCGGTACTTTTAATATGGTACCCCGGCTACGCGGTCGGCGACTCACTCGCGATGTGTTCCGCCGTGATGTGTCAGTTGAAATAATCGCGGAATGTATTTTGCTTGGCGGTACCATATGTCGAACAATTTATGCGGGGACAACCTCTTCTCTGAGTCACACATAACGACGCCGACGTCAGTTTCGGGAAAAGCGGAGCCTATGGTAGGTAATTGGTATGATTCAACAGTTATCATCAAAGTTGAATATTTACGAAAATTGCAACTATCATATTCTTCAATATTGTGAAATGTTGGTTGAACCTACGGTTAGGGGTTTCAAAAATAACTTTAATTGTGAACATTGACACAGTAAAAGCACTTGCCAATTATTTTTCGTCACATCTCATTTGACATAAATGTATATAGTTGTGAGTGAAATCTTAGGTTTCTCTAACCTTCAATTGAAACGAGCACACACTCTAATTTCTCACACAGATGAGCAAAATTTCTCTGGCGCAGTCAAAAGTGATTCAATTCTTCGTTAGTTGAATCCTACACATTTTCTTTTCGTTTCTTTCCTAATTACTCACGTCTTTATTCCATGAGTTCAGAATCACGACTTAAAAATCATTATTTCGACTTTAAAGTGTCAAATCCGGCTTTAGACTTTTAGACCTTCCACAATCTAAAAAATATGAAAATTGTAATGGAGAACTATATACACGTGTAAAAAGGGCAAACTTTTTAGTTTACCCCGATAAATTAATGCGTAAATTCAGAGTACTACATGGGCTTAAAGTATCGGGCTTAATAAAGTATCGGGCGCTAGTCTTATTGCTTTCACCGCTTTTTCAGTTAGTACTAACTTTCAAAAGAAAGCTGTTGGAATTTTATGATATTGTATTTGAAAGTTTGTGAGTCATTGTAGAAAGAGTGACACTACTTTTGTTATTATCAAAACAATGGATCGAAAACAATTACGTGTTTTAATTTTACACTGATTCTTGATGGGAAAAATACCTTTCAAGCGAATCAATGGCTTGAAAAGTGTTATAAGGATTCCGTTCCTTCAGAAACGACAATTAAACGTTGGTTTGCTTACTTCAAACGTGGTCCAAGAGACACCGATGATGAAGAACGCAGTGGACGTCCAAATGAGGCAGTAACACCAGACAACATAAAAAATCCACAAATCCACATATTGCACGAGCAATATAAAGCCAACCAAGACTGGTACACATATAGGAAAAAACTTACGCAGTATAACAAAGAAATCCGGAAGGCAAAAAGATATTCATGGAGGAGATTTTGCATGGAGGTGGAAGAAAACACCCACGTGTGCAAGAATCCACCGAATACTTTCCAAATACTTATTTGGGTTTCCCCAAAAAAGAGAACCGAACCTACACAGAAACGGAAAGGGAAAGTGTAAGGCTATTGTTAACAGCCCATTTCCCAGCGACATCTGAGCCCGGCGCTCTCAGGGGAGGCCTTCCTTTCCCCCAACAAGGCACAGAGGGCCAAAGGCGGGGAATTGGAGCCTGGACGCCGAAACCACGAAACCGGATAGGATCAGATGGTGATCCAAAAATTCAAACCATACAGTCACCAGGAATAGACGGAATCTACGCGATTCTACTACAAAAGGGACTGGATGTGCTGATACCACATCTGAGCAGGATTCTCAGAGCCTGCGTGGTCTAGAGATATATTTCAAAATCATGGCAAAAGGTGAAAGTAGTCTTCCTGTCCAAACGCTCAAGTCATACAGTCTAACGTCCTTCCTTATGAAAACCGTTGAAAGGTTTCTAGATCGATACATAAGAGACGAAACTTTGAAGGAAAGACCTGTTAGTGCTCGTCAATATGCGTACCAGCCTGGGAAATCAACAAATTTAGCGCTGGACGACTTAAACAGACTACTATCTAAGTCGCAGAACGCCAAAGAAATGGCAGTAGGTGCTTTTCTAGACATTGAAGGTGTATTTAATAATGTCTCCACGGAGTCACTTATGGAAGCACTGGGAAAAAGAGGACTGCCAGCTGTCGTGTGTCGATGGATAAAAGCCAGCCTAGAAAGAACGATGATGTACACAACTCTAGGAGAGGCCACCATACAGATAAGAGCAGAGAAGGGATGCCCACAAGGAGGAGTACTATCGCCATTGCTATGGGCAACTCTAGTAGACGATCTCCTCAGGAAGCTATCTGAAGAAAGCATATATTGCCTGGGATATGCTGATGATCTGGTGATGGTCACAAAAAGGAAATTTGCAGGCGTCATCTCGGAGCGAATGCAAGAAGCCTTGAACATCGTAGGCAGATGATGCAAACATGAGAACCTCTCAGTGAATGCCCAAAAACTACTGTCGTCGTGTTCACAAGGAAAAGAGTGATGCTAGGACTGAAACTATCAATACTCAATGAAGTGGAGATCCCTTTCGTCACGGAGGTCAAATACTTAGGTGTGACTTTCGATCACAGGCTCATGTGGAACTTCAACGTCCAAAAAACGGCATATAAGGCCAGGATGGCCCTGGGAATCTGCAGAAGAAAGTGCAGGAAAAAGTGACACACTGGTTAAATACAAGGGTAGTGAGACCCATGATGACATAAGGTGTAGTGACTTGGTGGACAAGAACAAGTCAATCGGGTACGGCTAGGCTATTAGGCGGGATACAAAGGCTGGCGTGCCTAAGTGTCACGGGAGCTATGAGAACGACCCCAACTGCGGCACTTGAGGTCCTACTTGGACTTCCACTATTGCACATCTACATACAAAGAAAAGCTCGACTGGTGACACACAGGCTAATGCAGGGGCAAACCTCAATCAGCCACTCACATGGTGTAGAATACTTGAAACTGTAGAATGAACTGAAGGCAGATCCAATACTAGGAATGCCCGGGGATAAGAACGTTCCGCAGTACAACTTTCAAAGAGATTTCAAATCATCATACCAAGTAGAGAGGACAGGCAAAACGGTCCACCGGTAAAAACGGAAGAAACTTGGTATACAGATAACTCAAAGACCCAAGAAGGAGTGGAAGCCGGTATATACGAAGGCAGAGCAGAGACAAGAATCGCACTCACCCTCGGACCTAATGCAACTGTGTTCCAGGCAGAAATAGCGGCCATCGAACACTGTATAGGGGAAATAAACAAGCAGAAGGTCACAAATGAAACCATTGCCATTTTCTCGTGAGAAACCAGACGGCAATTAAAGCGCTCAGCTCATTTCAAATCTTCTCAAGACCGGTGGGAAGCTATTTGAATGCACTCAAGGAGCTAAGTACCCAAAATAGGATCACTCTATCTTGGGTACCCGGACATGAGGGTCACAAGGGCAATGAGGAGGCCGATGTTCTAGCCCGTGAAGGCGCATCCAAGGCTATGATTGGTCCAGAACCCTTATGTGGGGTAGCGAAAGCATATATAAAGACATTCATAAACTCATGGATGCAAACCGAGTCGATAGATAGCCCAGAGGCTATCTATCGACTCGGTTTTTATTTAGAAAACACAGAAAATCCGCTGTCGTTCATTTTAATGAGGAAATCAACAACAAATAATATTAGTGGAAACAAAATCAATGGATAAATTGTTCAAAATGACCTCCACCTAGTTCCATACAATAATACAGTCTACTCTCGAAAGCGTTCCGTATATTATTCAAGATGTCCGCAGTCAGCAATCGGCATTCTCGAACAATTCTCTATCGCTGGTCTTCTAGACACCTCCGACACCTCCGACATCAGGTGTCCTCACAGAAAGAAGTCCATCGGTATGAGATCAGGTGATCTAGCTGGCCACTTCACTGAACCCCTTCGATCCAATGCATTAGAAAACGTTCATCCAAAAACTTTTACTCCAAATGTGGGGGTGCACCATCCTGCTCGAATATTATTTCATTTTCTACTAAATTGTCATCATTTTCTGAAATTTGTGTAATCATAGGATTTACAGTCTTGTAATTGATTTAAGCATGTGTCTCCAATGAGATTACCTTCAATGGTCCTACAATATGAGTACCAAGAATGCCGGCCCAGATATTCAATTTTTGTGGAGTTTGTGAATGTGTTTCCATCACCAAATGAGGATTCACATTGCTCCAGTAACGACAATTATGTTTGTTCACTTCACCATTCGACATGAAACAACTTTCGTCTGAAAAACATGTATTGTATACTAGGTACGGGTTATTGGTCAATTTCTTACTGAACATCTCACAAAACTGAAGGCGACGATCGGGATCATCTTCGTTTAATTCCTGAACTAGACTTATTTTGAAAGGATGGAATTTTTAGGCTTTCAAAATCCGAAAAACACTAGTAGCTAATACACCAGAAGATCCAGCCAATTTGTCTGATTGATTGTCGATTATCCGTTTGTACCTATATGTCCTAAAACTACAACTTCAACTCCGTCATTTCTGACAGGACGGGATACTTTATGTTTTCTGTTGTAAACAAAACCTGAAGTTCGAAACTTATCAATTAACTGTTTGAAGTATTGATGGCTCACTTTGTAGTCTGGATGATTAGTATTATAAATTCATGCAGCAGCTTTAGCGCATTTATTATTTCAATAATGGGTTGCAACAATTTCTATTCTTTCTTCAGTAAAATAAACTTTGTTGGTACACAGTGAACAAGGATGACTGAATAATAATTCGTGAAAAGGTGACAATGGCCAACTATCTACTTTTTGTTCTGCGACAACTAGATTCAACAAAAATTACCAGTGCAGAAAAAACTAACAGTGTCGTCCATTTCAAAATGTTTACTAGGGGAGACTGGGGCAAGATGAGATAGCTAAGACAAAACTCGTTATACAAGGAAAATTAAACTCTTTAATAACATTCTTTAACAAAAGAGGTAACCATTATACATTTCTCTCTTATAATTAATTAAACGTTGTAGCATGCAAAATCACAGAACTTTTTTTGGCAAATAATGAAAAAATAAACTCGGCAAATTTCCCTGGGGTAAGATGGGAAACGCTGAGGGGCAAAATGAGTACGTTTTTTAATCGGGTAGACAGCGTTCACAAATGTGTACCTCTTCATCTTCCTCATCTACTCCGGCACATGAATTATGGGCCCAACCGTGGCACACGCCGCAGATGACCCAACCTTCGGTTGAATCTGAGTATAAGTACCCACAATAGATGCAAGCACAGTCATCATCCTCTTCTTGGGATGAACTAATGTCTGTACATCAGTTTTCGAATCAAATATCGCGTAAAAACACTTGCAATGTCACTTTTTTCTCTCTGCAACGCAAAAACGAGTTCTAACCTGTTCGCTCTGCTTGGACACACTAGCGGAGAGTGAAGTTCGTGCAAATGGCGCTGTCGCCGCTCCGAACACGATTACTATTCACGCACACAAGCTTACTTCCCGTGCTGTCCCGAACTTCATCTTGCCCCGGTCTCCCCTACTAATTGAATAAATTCTACAAATCTAGAAGAGCTGCGACAGAGAATTGTTCGGGAATGCCGATTTCTGACTCCGTACATCTTCAATAATGTAAGCAACGCTTCCGAAAGTATACTATATTATAGTATGGAACTAGATGGAGGTCATTTTGAACACTTCATCCGTTGATTGTGTTGCCATTGATATTTCTTTTGTTGATTTCCTCAATAAAATGAGCGACAGCGAATTTTCTGTTGTTTATTGAAAAAAACGTTCAACATTCAATCTCTCGATAACAAATGAATCAATTTCGAAAAAAATCACGTTTCAAGTTATGTATCACTCGACCCCCCATGCTATTAAAAAAAATAGGGGGGGTAGTTGCTGACCGCAGGGGGATGAAGCTTCGGGTATGATTTACATATTAGAATTATTCCCCCTAGAAAAAAAATGGACGCGTTCTTTGATATTTTCGATTACACGCCGTTTCTGACTTACAGGGGGGGGGTCAAGTTTTCGTTGGAACGCCCTATATAACAATAGTCGACCAGTGTGTGTACTATTACTATCGATGAAGATACGGTGTCAGCGAAACCCGTCTAGTATAAAAAATCAGTTTGTGAAAATCGCTTGACTATTATCATGGATAATGTTTCTGCTCTATGCAAACCTCACAAAACCGCATTCAATTATATTTTCTTGTGGAAATCGAGCAGGGTAGGACTTACAAGTTAACCTTGATAGAGGCGTCTATCAAATCAACTCAGAAGTTTCATTGAGAGAGAGGTGGATTAATGCCAAATTGAAACAACCAAAATCAAACATTTCAGTACAAGGTCTTCCACCACCAGTGACCACTATGCATTGCTGGGGTAATACAACCATTATTGAGCAATCGATAACGCTTGTTCGTTGAAATTTTCATTTGGAACAAATAGCGTGAAGTAACTCTAGATTCAACAACTTTGCAAGCAACAGAACTATATTGGCATGAATAAAATAACTAGCAGAAAAGTACACGAGCTTGTTCCCTAGTTAAATGGATAAACGGTAGCGAAACCCACGTAAAAGCACGGGTATTGGAGTCACAGATAAAAAAATTCATGGGTTGATTAGTTTCATGACTTCTGTAGTCCGTTCCTCTGATTATTCCTGTACACGTTTTTCCATTTTCATCTGAGTAGTTTACTTCGCAGTTCATTAACGTCCTCAAATTTCCAATGATATTTGTTCCGGGTATTTCGGTTTCTTCTTTGAAATGAAAGACATAGACTCTGTAGCCGTCCAGTATGCAAGTTGCTCTTCCCAGTATCACACAAGGATAAAATACTCCGTTCAGCAAGGCGAGGATCAGATTAGTAGTGATTTCTCTGAAATTGAAAGTTTCTATTAATTACCCATACATGAAAAAAATCGGTTTCAATCCCTTCAGTTGAAAAAAATAGTATAACTTTCACTTAAATGATTCCTAGATTACACTGATTAAATCTACATTCATCATTAATAGAAATCTGAAATAAAAATTTGAACGAACAAATGAAATTCCAGAAACTGAAATCATGAACTAAAAGGTCCTTTGAATATCAATAGATAGAGATGGGCGCCTAGAGATGATTCAAGTTTGAAGACGCTGCGTTGTTTAGTATTTGTTTGGCCGACATCAATAGCGAACATTTTCGGCGAACCAATATAAAAGCTGAACTGCATTCTTCTCTAGGTGAGTCTGCTACTTCTTTTACAAATTAAAACATTGAGTAGCAGATTTCAAACTGTGAGAACTGCCAAGACGAGCGTCGCAGTGGTCGACAAAATGAAGTGACGATTCCAGAAACGGTGAAGAAAATCCACGGAGCGGTACTGAATGATTTTGGACTGAAAGTGCGCGAGCTAGCAGACTTGGTAGGCATTTCAAAAAGTGCGGTACATCGTATTTTATCTGAAAATTTGGACATGAGAAAGCTGTGTGTGAGATGGGTGCCGCGTTTGCTCACACTCAAGCAAGAACAGTGTCGTGATGATGTTTCAATCGAGTGTTTAACGAAGTTTTACAGTAACAAAGGAGAATTCTTGCGTCGTTTTATAACCATGGATGAAACGTGGGTTTATCACTATACACTCGAGACAAAACATCAATAAAAAAAGTGTATTCAAAAGGGACAACTGGCTCCAAAGAAGGCGAAGACAGTTTCATTTACAGACAAAGTCATGGCATCGGTTTTTTTAAATGCGCGTGAGATAATTTTCATCGACTATCATAAAAAAGGTGAAACTGTCAACAGCGAGTATCATGCGAACTTATTACAATGTTTAAGTGAAGAAATCAAGTAAAAATTGCTGCATTTGATTAAGAAAAAATTGTTGTTTCATCAAGACGATGCACCAGCTCACAAATCCATTATCGCAATGAACAAAATTGACAAATTAAAGTTTGAATCGCTAACTCATACACCCTTTACGCCAGATTTAGTCCCTCGGATTATTTTCTGTGCCTAAACTTGAAAAAGTGGTTCAATGATCAAATATTTTCCAACGATAGAAAAATGATGTCGGCAGGTAATGGCTACTTTGAGGAGCAAGACATTTCTCGTTACAAAAACGGTATCGAACTCATTAAACGTCGTTGGGAAAAGTGTATAGAGCTACATTTTCAAAATTTGTCTGTTTTTTTTTGTTGGGCCGGTTACTTTTGGGATCACCTTCGTATTTGCTAAAAAACGCAATTAGGAAATGACCAATAATGATCATAAAACTACTGAGCCACTGAAAGTGAATAGAATCAATTGTAGTCGATTGACATGTATTCTCTTATTCACCTTTGTTTGTTGAAGTATCTTCTGAATGAATAGTATTTAGTGCTCTTGTAATGATTCTAAGTCATCTCCTACTCTGTTGAAGGAGTTTCCTGATTCTTTTCTCAGGCGATCTTTTCACAATAGTTTTAAAATGAACGATAGTTCACTACACTGAGTACATAAACAAAACTTATGCATCAATTTAAATAAAGAAAATAATGCTTCTTATGGTTCAACTAAACTATACCTAGCCAGGTTAATAAAAACAATCAAGATACACGTCCAAGTATGTGGGTGGGATTATTTCAGGTGCCATAGAAGCTTTAATGAAAATTGCAGAATTAACATTCATTCAGTAATAATAACAGTGACCCTGCATGGTCCGCGACTATGAGAGAGCAGGAATTGGAGTATTTCGCTTTAGATCAACTGCCCGAGTAGCTGGTAAACTCGGTTTAGTTTTCGACACTGAACAAGGTGATCACAACTCTATTACCAAGTTGGAACTCGTCCATCAAGAGGAGCATATACAAGCCGCAGTAATCACCTCACTTCTGCGGAAACACAAGGATAAGCCAATACATGGGGTCTCCTTCAATAACATTGAAGACCTTGACTCATCAAAGCGCCTGACGTTCACTTTCCTCAGGTCGAGTGGGCTGAAGTTGGAAACTGAGGGGTTTATCATGGCGTGCCAGGATGGTGTCTTCAACACCTTAGTCTACCGCAGTCCCGTGATGGGTATAGAGGTTCCTGACACAATGCAGGGCCTGCCGCGAGGCGCTCGAGACCCTAATGCACTTGCTGTCAGCATATCCAGCATATGCAGTCTCAGCCTATATCCATCGGCCCTGAAAGTGCTTGAATACTGTTACGGTATCGATAAAACCCAAGTGTTGCCCTACGCTCCGGCGGGATATTGAATCCGTTGTGACTATTGACTATTTATTCCCCATCCTCAGACTCATACAAGCTAATCAGTCTGATGTAGTCCTTCTCGACTACCAGAGCAAGACGATATTCGTAGTGGAGTTTTCAGCTCCTGATGAAACGAATATCGTCCAAAAAGAGGACGAAAGGCGGATAAAATATCAAGTTTTTGTTTTAGAATTCCGCAGACTCCATCTAGACCACTCTGTCAAAATGGTTCTTCTGATTATCTTTGGTGAAATGATGCCCTCTCTACTACCAAATCTCAGAATCATGCCAGCAGAAATCTCAACCGGGCGAATGCAGATGACTGTCATTCTTGACTCACTGCGATTACTCAGGGCACATGATTCTCGGACCCAATGATCACTTACCCCACGATGTGGGAAGTGGTCGTTGGTAGATAATGCTGGCGCGTTCTCCCGAATGTATCGAGGCTTCGGGGGATAGGGCCTGACCAGCACAAACTCAGGTTTAGAAAAATAATAATATAATTTCGGTAGATCATATCTAGGAGGCTTTACCAGATTAGCTATATGGATCTTACGCTGATGAATGTGGCAGTGAATCAAAAGTTAGGTACCATATTTTTTGAGAATTTTTAGGGAGGTAGAAGGAATGATCATATTAGAAAGTGTTAGGTACTATTCAGAATATTCAGAAAAGAGGGTAGGAAAGGGGATAATAGTTCATCCAATGAGTAGTACCTATGACATTGAAATTGCTTCAAACGTAGGCAAGGAAACAATTGTTTTTTTAGGGAAAAACCGATCCTGTTACCTAACCAACCTTTCTTCAGAAAAAAATATGGGATCACTAAACTAGTTAACTGAGTAAATTTATAAGTGGAAAGAAGCACATCCGTCATTGACTGCGACACGATTACGGTGCAAAATAGTTAGTAGCCAAACTAATGAAGCGCAGAAGGGTTACTTATTTTTTTTTATCTATATCTTGGAAACTCCGACTTCAAAACTAGAAGTTTTTTCCGAAATTTCGACCTAGAAGACAAAATTTTGAGACAATTCTTGAAATTACTACTTTAAACTCGGGATTTCGACTTTTAAATCGAAATATGGACTTGACATTTCTTCGAGATGGGGCACCTCCATACAATATGGCTTCCTTTCGCCAATTCATGAATGAAAAGTCCTAAATATAAATCATGAAATTATAAAACATAAACAAAAATCAACCGGCGCTCCGGAGCGACTTAATTGATTTCAGTGAGGCATTTGCTTTTTCAGCTGCAGGAAAAGCCGGAAAAACCTGCAGCACCACATCATCTGAAGATCTTGATCTGGACGGTGAACTGACAGGAATGGCCTACTAGTTTGTTCGAAATAGAATCATTAACAATGTTGGTTGATCACAATAACAAATGAATGTTTGTCAAAATTTTGAAATCGAATTCGAAATTTGGAGTTTGAAGTTGAAATTTTGACTTTCAAAGGCAAAATTTCCAAAAAACGAATCTTTGATGTCACTGAAAAGATCTATGGCAAAACGAAACAAACAAACAAATTGGGATAGGCGATAATATAAATATCACAAGCCTTAACTAACTTGATGATTATAAAGATTCAGTTTTCTTCGAAAAAAGTTAATTCAACGTAGGTTGTCAAATCATATTTGTACCATGTTCCATTGAACAACTATAGCTTTGTACTTAGTTATTGATGAGTGTAATTACCAAATCAAAATAAATACCACTTTCAATCACTTACGATATATTGCTAGGAATCTTCTCAGCTTCTTGGTCGCGAAGGTCACATCCACTTTGAAAATTTCCCATTTTTTCAACGACAACGGTTGCACTACAGTTTTGGAATTTCTGAATATTTTATACGGTACAAATAAAATTTGATTTTCGTTGTAAAGTTACATGAATTGTTATTATCAAATTCATGAAATGGTAATGAAATGAAAATTTTGATGAAGATATTTTGAAATTTTGACGTTATGCTGACTGAAAGGTAATCCTAGTATGACAAGTGTGACGTTTTCAACAATTAATGAAAATTCGAAACTTGTAAAACGAAAATGTACAATGAAAATTTTATTAAAAATGTAACGAGTCCCTGAAGTGCCTTCTAAAGCTAGAAATTGATCCCGGAAAGAATACTTGAGCAGCTGAAATTGGATTTTCAATCAAAACGAATGCACTTTTGTTCCGTAGACTTGTACGCTAGGGGAGACCGGGGCAAGATGAAGTTCGGGGCAGCACGGGAAGTAAGCTTGTGTGCGTGAATAGTAATCGTGTTCGGAGCTGCGACAGCGCCATTTGCACGAACTTCACTCTCCGCTAGTGTGTCCAAGCAGAGCGAACAGGTTAGAACTCGTTTTTGCGTTGCAGAGAGAAAAAAGTGATATTGCAAGTGTTTTTACGCGATATTTGATTCGAAAACTGATGTACAGACATGTAAGTACCTGTGTTAATGTATTATTTCAATCCCGAGCTTATTATAGTAGTTCAAAACATTAAATTCAAACCAGATTTTTTCGCCGGCAAAGTTTGAGGTTAGAATTGCGTCATTTTTTTTACCTACGTGTGGATCGGGCAAGATGATCGGGGCATAATGGGATACTATCCCGTTTTGCCCCGCCCTTGCGATTAAAATAACATTTTCTATGTACTGATAAACAAGTGACTGTAAAAGGTAAAAAACAAATAAAGAAACCTGGTAAAAAGACTGCAAAGAAGATTAAAAAGACAACTGACAAGGAAAACCTGCAGAAAAAGCGTCAAACCAAAAGGTGCAAAAAAGAAACTGAATCGGAAGATAGTTCATCCCAAGAAGAGGATGATGACTATGCTTGCATCTATTGTGGGTACTTATACTCAGATTCAACCGAAGGTTGGGTCATCTGCGGCGTGTGCCACGGTTGGGCGCATAATTCATGTGCCGGAGTAGATGAGGAAGATGAAGAGACACACATTTGTGAACGCTGTCTACCCGATTAAAAAGCATACTCGTTTTGCCCTACAGCGTTTCCCATCTTACCCCAGTTATGGGGCAAAACGGGAAATTTGCCGAGATTATTTTTTCATTATTTGCCAAAAAAAGTTCTGTGATTTTGCATGCTACAATGTTTTGTTAAGGAATGTTATTAAAGAGTTTAATTTTCCTTGTATAACGAGTTTTGTCTTAGCTATCTCATCTTGCCCCAGTCTCCCCTACCTGTGCAAAAAATAAGATGAATTTTCATTTTTCTTTTCACCAATTTCTATTCTGTTTCCTCCAAAATAGTCCCTCTAAGATAAAATACACTTGTGCCAGCGTTCCAATCCTCAAAGTAGTTCTGATATGATATTATTGGTATGTCCTTGAACTCTCTCAGTTTTTATCTCTCGGTTTTTATCTCCTCAATCGTCACAAAACGCTGTCGTCCTTTCATGGGTCTCTACTGTCTTGGGAACAGAAAAAAGTTTCAGACGCCAAATCTGGTGAATATTATCTTCAATAATTGAATCCAAAAATCATAAAACTAGGCAATAGATTCACAACTTTGTTTCAGATTTTCAGTTGTCATCTTTTGCATCTACACCGGGTGTAACTTAGATAATGCGAACGATGGCGTGTTTTCTTCAGCAAAACGTACTTCAAGGGAGGTGATAATTGAATCCAAGTATGGTATTACTAAATACCTCTTCCAGTATTCTGAAGGACTTTCTGCTGGATGATTGCTTCTATGGCGCTGTTTCCCCGTAATAGGCATTGATGTAATGTCCTCCTCCAGTCCGACTTTCTCCGAAACAGCAGTAGCTTCCTTTATAATTTCGTCTGTCACTTTTTCCGGATTTTCAAGGTGGTTTTCAAACACCTGTAGGTGTTTCTTACACTTACACTTACAGATGGTATTGTCCACAAAACCAATTAAAATTGTATGTTCGTAACAATAACTTCTACTTTGGGTATGCCTCATACAATTTCCTATTTCCTACCTACATATTTTTACACTGTTTAATGGCAAATCTGATATAGTCGTGATGATAATGGCGTCGATTTCAAAAACGGATGTCAAAATCTTAATGTTATTCTGAATATTTCAATACTTTCTACAATATACATTAAACCTTGTGAATTCAATTAATCTCTTTGGTCGCTTTGTTGCTAGCTACATTAGATCTCTAGAGGGGGAAACTGCCCCCCTTGTCCCCCGTTTGCGACGCCCTTGAATAAATCAATTATATGAATTGAAAATCACTGCCTGACCAGTACTTAATCAATATCATTTCAAACGTTAAATTTATTAATTGTTTCAACTTTCTCATCGTATAATCAAGATCCTTATTGAATATCATACGTGTACTCATACGTGTTTGCAATCGATGTAGGTAATACTCATCTTATATTTCGGGATCAAATATTATTTTTATAATTGCTGTTCTGTTCTTTAATACATGAAAAAATGTATCTCTTGTTTTCGGATCAAACAAAATACGTACAATTGAACAACTGCAAAGAATGTCCAGGCAACAAGTGAGAGAGAGTACTTGACAGTAATATCAAAGATGGATTTGATTGAACCTGGTTACTTCCACCTCAATTCGAAATCACTTCTAGATCCTGAATATTACTAGAGTTCTTTCCCAACACCAAATCGTTATTTTTAACACTTTGACATGTATTTCAATCACCATGTGATCATCTTCAAGAGGAAGATTAAACTGGTTAGTGTACAGTGCAGGCTAATATAAGCAGATATTTGGTTTCTGAAGAGCTGTAAAAGATATTCAGTTTTCCCAAATTTTGTTAACGTAAATATTCCTATTAAGTCTTCAATTACTGATGAAGTCCAAAAATTCGCCAAAGAAAAATGGCTTGATTTAGAAATCGATCATCTGTACACTAACCAGTTCAATCTTCCTCTTGAAGATGATCACTTGGTGATCGAAACACGTGTCGAGGTGTTAAAAATAACGATTTGGTGTTGGGAAAGAACTCCAGTAATATTCATTACTACACCAAAAATTCCAAACAGTGCATCATAAGTACTTGTAGATCCTCATTATTATATGCAATATCCTGCTGCCGGTGAAGATGTGCATCCGCAGCTGATGTCCTGGAATCCAAATGGAATGACGAGACAAGTGAGCTGTCGTCAGCAAAGCAAAATATTGTAAGCTTCGTTTTTTCCAATAAGTGGTACAGTAAAAAGAAGATTGGCGACAAAATGGATCCCTGGGAAACACCAGAATTGATGGTAAAAGTTTTCGAGATATATCCATCGACAGTCTCTTCCCGAAAGCATTTTTTCAGGAAGCTGGAGAGCCATACACAAAAATGATCCAACAATCCATAGCATCGAAGTTTGGTCAGCATACCCCACACGGTCGAAGACCGTATAAATATCAAGCGCAACAGCTCTTGACTCTCCATGTTCCTTGATTACGTTATTCCAGATATGGGTGACATACTATAGAAGGTCACTTGTAGATCTTTGTTTCCGAAAGCCATATTGATGATCGCTCAAGATGTTGAAGCCTTCCAAATATTTGATGATGTGATGGTTTATGGCTTCATCCATGATTTTTGATATCAAAGCGACTGGTCTATAGTTATTAGGAAGATTTTTTTTGCCCTTTTTGGGCAAAATTCGCCTCACTAGACGTTGTCTAAATGTAATTTCTGGCATTGTGGATTCTAGTCTGGGAATAGTGGGGTGGTTCCTTTCCCAATATGTTCTCTACAATTATAAGGAACCGTTCGCCTCAAACTTGTTAAATAATCAAAAACCATAAACTATTCTTTTAATTTTGGCCAATGACAACTCTCGAAATAGTGGAAGAGACAGTGTCCATACACAAATGACATGTAACATATGGCCAACTGTTATATTTCTGTTTCCGAAAGGAAATTTCTCTTTATGAATGAATCGATTGGCAACCTCATATACACGGTAGTATTGTGGGTTCCGACATATCAGGCTACGGATTTACAAAATCAGACCTCTTTACGCCGCATTTTTTCAACTTGCGAAAAAACGGTTTTCGAGTTAAAAGAAACGACTTGTGTTCTCATTAAAATCTTAAGTAATAATAGTAATAGCTATTATTACTTCTCGATGCTTTTATGGGATATCAACCTTCCGCAATCTGAAAGATAAGCAAATTTCTGATTCCATCTATTCTATATCTATACTTATCTATACTAACATTATGAATGTATGTATATGCATGTATGTTTGTGACTCTTTCACGCCTAAACGATTGAACGAATTTAAATGAAACTTTATATAAATACAGCTTTTCATGAAAAGTGTCGTTTCAAGTATTTAATATAGATAAACTTTGTCTTAACACTAAGTAATATGGACCAATCGTGTGAAATTTATCCCAATAAGATTAATTTGACTCAACGCAGTAAGCCCATACGCGTCGCGTCTACTGTAAGACGATGGAGGACTATACGCGGGGGTGGAGAGGCGGTCTAAGCAATGAAGCGCTATCGCCGAGAACGCGACCGAGAACGCGACCGAGAACGCGACTGCACTGAGTTGCCAACTGCAACTCAGTGCAGTTGGCATATTTATTTTTTTAGTTACTGTATTTTTGAAGTAAAACTATAAATTACTAGTTGTTGCCCGCGGCTTCGCCCGCGTAAAATTTGGTTTTCCACAATAAGTTTCGTGACAGACCATTTTGAAGAAATAGTTACAATATTGTTTTATCAATCCAAAACTTTAGGTTTTCAACTTCAAAACTGACGAAATTCAATACAATCTTTGAACCCCTAATTTTCCCTCTTTGGGGGTGGAAATTTCTGATTCGCTTTCTAGATGCTTATTTACACTATACAAAGAACCTACCTGCATAATTCAAGATTCTAGGTTCAGTAGCTTCGGCTGTACGTGCCCTTTAGAGCACATGTTGATATTTATTTATTTATTTATTTATTTTCAAACAGGTAAAAACCTCATTACATGAAAATAATTATTCTTATAAAAATGTCAATACAGTCTAAATCATTATTTTATATAATATCAGA